GGCATGGATCTGCACCCATGTAGATGACGTAAATGGTCCCAGAACACTGACCTCCTCTATAAGAAGGTCCAGAGTGAGCTGCACTTCCTGAGGAGASTGTAACATTCAACCCCTGCAGGAAACTCCTGCAGATGATTAAAAAAAACCCTTTGATTTATTATTTGGTAATAATCAGAATGCACAGGCCATCATCTGTTGTTATGGCTCTGAGTGCCACGCCTGCCAGCTGACAGAATGTGACTGTGTGACGTGTCAGATGTCAGACAGCAGCAGCTGCTGGCAGCCGCTTCACTTCCTGAATGATCAACAGCCGTCGTGAGGGCCTGACCTTCCTGTAAATGTGATAAAAGATGACAGGAGCTGACATGAAGGCATTATCACCAACACGTGCTTTGAGTTCAACACGATGCACAACATGTTCACTGMATTGAGACGCGTCATGGTTTTAAATCCTTCTTTTTCACATTTAAACAGTGTTGTGTAAAGTACCTCAAAGTGATACTTGAGTAAAAGTACGTGTCTTACCATAAAAGTTAGTCTCCTCAAAGAACATTACTTGAGTAAAAGTCTTAAAGTATCTGATATTTTTTGTTCTTAAAAGTAAATTTCTGACTTAAAATGTATTTAAGTAATAAAAGTAAAAGTTGTTCAAAAATGACATTTATTGGGAGGTGACCTCCCTCCCAAATCTTTTTTCTAAAGATCAAAATGATTAATGTCGTGCTAAAAGAATGCATTACCTGTTATTTGCCAGACTACATATATCTGTTGTGTCCTGYTGTAGTGTGACATGATTTGTGTGTTGCAGCTGTGATAGATTTTGTACAAACTAAAACAATATCAGAAAGGTATGTAGCATGGTATGTGGTACACAGTATTTATACTTTTCATCCACCACAATTAAATTCTACGGAAGCCAAGAGCGGCCATTTTCAGCTATGGTTTTCTCGTGATAATGACATAATTAACTTGTTATCACGACATACAAGAAATATGTYGTTATCTCRAGAAAACCWTGGAAAAAWTTACTTGCGGAAAACGKCTGTTCTCCSCTTCCGTAAAATTCMCTCTGTCCAGRAGGCAAAATTTATCTGGATAGGTTTTWACTTATCCTCTTTYTCTGGRTTGTGTCTCGTATCAACTGGCTTTTGAGGCTCTCTTTGATGCTGCGTTCACACCGAACGTGATTTCTGCGTCAAAATCACGTCCAGTGCTTCAAGTTGGACGCTTGTGCACTTCGAGGTCAGACGCGAGTCAAAATTGCTCTTGAAGTGCTCGACGAGCGTCCAGCACTTCAAGAGCCTCCCCGCCCCCTCCCTCCTCTGCCGGTGTRGATAAATAATTCATAATTAATTCAGCAGATTATTCAGAGACGTTCTGAGTTTGAGTTTTGCACAACCCAGGAGCTGCGAGCTGACGAGGCTCGCTTTCAGAACTATTTTTGTCCCGAGTCCAGTTTGATGAGCCGCTGACCCGCATCGGTGCTGATATCTCCTGCCAGGACACCGACTACCGGCACTCGATTTCAGCTAAAGAGATCCTGTCCATCTGTCACGGGTTAGTGGACATCAGTCAGGAAACTGTCCCGACGGAAAATCTGTCACTACGTCACACAGTGGAGCCTCTCTGATTGGTTGACGCGACGCATCGAGCTGCAAAAGTTCAGATATTCCAAATCCAGCGTCCGACACGTCAAGCGCATCGAACGCTCAGGTCATTCATATTGTTCAAATCACGCCGCTCTCATCTCCCTAGATGCGCCACAACACTTCCCGTTGCATCCACCATAGACTTTGCATGTAAACCTGACGCTCCTGATGCTGACATGGCATTCGGTGTGAACGCAGCATCCATCCAAACGAGGCGATTCAGACCCCGCCCCCCTCCAGCTTCTAGATGGGTCCATTCCACTTAATCGAGGGGTTCACGACTCTARCGGCACAAAAACTTTAAAAAAAATAATTAAAAGATGCCAACAAGGGAAGACTYGCCCATCCAGCCKTACATGTTGGAGCCAGAGGAGACTTGTGAAACRTTTGTGACTATTTTACTCATATCGGCTACATTTTTTACCTAATTGTTAGCATTACAGTGTATATGCCAAAAACAGACTTTTAGTAGAATTTTTCTTAAAATTCCACCTTAAGTGTAGACATCTTCAGTGTTGGACAAACTTTTCACAACTTATCTAAAACATTAGAGCAGGGGTGTCAAACTCATTTTCACCAAGGCCTACATGAGCATTATGGTGGCCCTCAAAGTAYCTGCTGTTCTTAGCTTTGATGTTTTGTGTTTAACTTCAACTAAACATGGAACGTCAAAATAAATGACATGCATTATGGGAGATGTAGTTTATAGTCAACACTGGCTTTAACCTCTTGAGCTTGTTGCTTTAACAGTTTTTAGTGGATGTAGAATCATTTTTTACGAGCCTTCTTGATTCTGAGGTTTGATACCAAACATGTCCTTGTTTAACTAACAGATCTTAAGTGAAAAGAAGTTAGAAGAAATAGGAAATGAGAAATGAAAGTTTCATTTTTAAAGCACTCGCGGGCCGCATAAAATATCACGGTGGGCCACATTTGGCCTGTGGGCCTTGAGTTTGACACACGTGCGTTATAGTGCGGCATGGCCTTAATCAAAGCAGCTATAACACATAATCTTACTTTAAAACTCCAGCATTAAAGCGACAGGCGATGTGCATTCCTTCAACAGATGYCAGGCTTTTAAATAAGGCAGAACTTCTTAGAGATTTATTGACTCGTGATACGACTGTACCAAGTTTAACAGAAAACTGAGACGTCCTCTTATTAAAAAGAGGTCGGCCATGTGTAACAAGGAAAAATGCTTTCCTCTTGTAATATGAGCTCCAGCGGAGGCTACAGCCAAAGAATGCAGCGGATATCGTATCAAAGATAGTAACAATTCAGCACCACAAACACATGAACAACCATCTGGGAAAATTCCAGCCACAGGACCGACATGGATTTGATTCATTCCCACACTGGCCTTGGTGCTGCCGGTGGTAGCTCTCACTCTGTCTGCAGAGAGGAGTTATTTGTTCGTAAACACGGCTGATAAAAATCACAGCGCGGGGACCAGGAACACGTTTCAGACAAGGCCAGGCACATACCCAGAGGCTGCAATTTTATCAGAAGCATATTTACCAGCACTTCATGTCAACCTGTGATGACAGATACACCAGGAATTCCTCTGATCACTAAACTGTTGCAAAGCAGAAGCTTTTTTTCCCCCTTCCTTCAATGCTTAGAAAACCATTAAATGTACTTCAGTGGCCACAGAAATGTAAAGAATGTACATGAGAATGTATAGAAGTTTAATTTGCAGATTTAAAAACAGCATCAGTTTTTACTGAGCGTCTTTATTGTGCTTTAAAAAMATACATCAATTATATAATCCACAGAAACACCTTTATTGCATTTGGTTTCTGAAGACAAACTGGTGTTTCCATACATATTTTCAACACTTAAAACAACTGAATATATTTAAATAATACAATAAACATCTAGGAAGTCGGTTTTCTTTATCAGCACCAATGTTCACTGTGCAACACAAAGTACTGAATAAATGAGCAGCCTGTATCTTGAGAGAACGAAGATGAGATAAATTTACAAACATCAGATAAGAGCTGTTTTTTTTTTTTAAATCAAGAGTCACACAAGCTCTGGTTGTTTTTTTTCTCAGGTGAATCTTATCAGAAAAAGGGACTTTTACTAAAGCTGCTCATGTGCAACCCCTGGTGTTCATATGCAGGAATGAAAAAACAAACAAACAAATGCTCTGGAAAGCTCATTTTAAAAGATTTACAACCATTTAACACGTTTGAAATAAACACTGACAAACACAAAGTCATTACTCAAAGTGAAAAAGAATTCGACAAAATAAAACAGATGRCAAAACAAGAAAACCACAACAATCAAAACATCAGTTTTTCTTTTTTTAGATAATTTACTGGAGTCAAACCGAAAAACTTATGGAGGACCGAAACTGACATAATTACAAACAAAATCAGAAATATATAAATGGACCAATAAATAAATACACTTAAAA